AAGAAGCCGCGGCGGCAGCTGAGGCAACAGGTCCCGTTCAAAACGGTGACCACATCGAAAATGGCACCAATGTTGTGACACCTGATGCAAAGGAGAACCTTCAGGCTGATCTAAACGACTACCCACCTCACAGCCCTGCTCAGTCCAAATTTGTGCACGACAAGCTGGAGAACGTCACCCAGGAGCTCATCGACTTGCGCGTAGAGCATGAGACCACGGTCAACGAATACGACCTTCTGCACTCCAAGTACGAGGAAGCCCTACGCACCTTGGCAGAGCTTCAGGACACAATCGACGAGTCTCGCCACCCCGAACGCAAGGTCCGAGACTCTATGATGTCTGTCACTTCTCCGAACCTGACCCGACCACCCTCGTTCTTCTCCGACGCCAGGTCGAGCGATCTCAAAGACGGCGGCCAATTCTCATCACGGTCTCTCTCATCAGAGCTTTCGTCGGCGTTGGAGTCGCCTGCCACCATGGATCCGTCTGATGCCGAGACGGCAGTGACTGCAAAGCCCGAGTCTGGTCCCGAACATTTGTCAACGGAGGATCTCATGCACCAGGATCTCCTGGCGACGGAGGTCGAGAGGTTTAAAACTCTTGCCGCCGAGAAGGAAGACGCCGAGAAGGAGCTGGCCGAGAAGTACACACAGCTTGAACAGAAGCACCACGAAGCCCTGGATATGCTGGAGGAGCTCAAGACCGAAGTTGCCCAAGCAAAGGCATTGGAGGCGTCATCACCACGAACTGGTCAACCCGTCATTCGCCGCAAATCCAGCCAAAATGTTATGATTATCGACCGCGCTCATCGATCTTTTGCGTCGCTCCGTAACATTGCCGCAGACAATTTCGAAGGCCAGCCTGATGTTATGCAAAACTTCGAGCTTAACCTCAACGCAGCTATGCACGAGTTACATGCTCGCTCGGAGCGCATTCAGGAACTCGAGGCTGACATTGCGTCCGCCAAGAAAGAGATGGAGACTAAGATGGCTCTGATTTCTGGGCTCACTCGTGAGCGATCCAGTTTGCAGGCGTCTCCGATGGACATGTCGATGATCTCCACCCTGAAGAACCAACTCGAGGCCAACGAGAAGCAGATGGCAGAAATGAGGGAAAACCATGAAGCCACTGAGAAGAAGCTTATGGCTGAGCTTGAAACATTGCGCACTGCTGTGAGGGATGCTCCTACTGTGGGTGACGCCCCTGAAGGTACTACCGAGACCGTGGTTGCGACTGCCGCGGCCGGCGCCGTTGCCGACATCCCCATGGCATCAACCGAGGTGACCAACACCGAGACGAGATCTTTGCAGACCACAGAGGAGAACGACAAGAAGATCACCGAACTACAAGCCGAACTCACGGCATGGGAGACGAAGCACCAGACTGCCCTCGACACCCTGCAAGAGACGGAGACGAAGATGAAGAAGACCATCGAAGAGCTCGAATCTGAGATTGTAGCGCTGAATACGCAAGCCTCTGCGCATTCCACCGCTCGGAGTGCCGAGGAAGTCAGGGAAATCGAGCAGAAGCACGAGACGCTGGTCAAGTCACTTCGCGACGAGATTGACGAGCACAAGGTTGCAATCACCACCAACTCTAGCAAGGTATCCGAACTGGAAGCAGCGCACGCTGCCACCAAGACGGAGCTGGAGGAGGTTATCAGGGCCCGCAACTTGCATGAGACACAGGCGAAGACGCAACAGAGTCTCATCACGAACCTGGAGAACCAGATTACGGCCCACGAACAGGCTCTGAAGACACACCAAGATGGTATGAAGCTGCTTCAGGAGAACCACGCCAAGGACCTGGAGGAAATGAAGCAGATGGAGCAGAAGGGATACGAGGAGCAAGTCGCAGTCTTACTCAATGAGCATGCGGAAAATGTCAGAGCCCTCGAATGCGAGCTTAATGACGCCCGGGAGGATCTCATGAAGGTCGCCACCCAAGTTGCGTTCGCTCTTGGTCTTGACGTCAGCATCGAGAAGATCACAGAGCGTATCGACGACTTGATCGCCGACCAGAAAGCCTTGGGCGAGGAGCAGAAGAAGTCGAGCGCAGCTGAGAAGCAGGTTGCCGAGCTGTCGACCGTTAACGACAACCTGGTCAAGGAACTTGAGCAGGCCAAATCGACGCTGACCGATCTCCTTACTGCGGAGGGCGAACCCCTGAAGAGCCCTGCTCCTCTCCCCGATCAGCTGTCTGCTATTCGTAAGAAGATTTCAGACCTTCAGAGCCGGAACAAGAAGAACTCTCGTCTTGTGGAGGAGCTCGAGGACCAGCTACAGAGCAACTTTGATCAGGTCCAGATGACCAACAACCGCCTGTCTACGCTACAAACAGAACGCAACTCGCAGATTGAGGAAGCTCAGGCTGCCAAGTTCAAGGCCGAAAGCGAGCTTGATTCTCTCAAGGCCGAATACGCGGCCCTCCAGGTATATACCATTCAAGTAGCTCGGTCTTTTCCAATTGCTAATGTAGTACAGGCCAAGATTGACGAAGCGTCGGCTTCTGGCCAAGTCCAACGATCCAACTCGATTAGCTCGCCGCTGCGAAAGAGTGCCTCTGTTGCGTCTCTGCCCTCTCCGCCGCCGGCCATCCCCTTGCCCCCGCTGCCCGGCGCGTCGTCCGGCCCCAACGGCACGGTGCCAAGCACACCCACTCAAGCAGGTCGACCAGGCAGCAAAGACAACATGGGCTCTGCCAATCAAATCCAGGAAGACCAGGAGGCTCGCATCCGCACTATCGAGAAGCATCTTCAGGCTGAGAAGCAACTCACCCAGACTCTAGAGGAGGCTCTCACCGACCTCGAGCGTCAGTCGAACAAGGTCAAGGCCGACAGCGACGCTTGGCGCAAGCGCTGCGTGGAGTTGGAGTCCGAGGTCAAGGAGCTCAAGGACCGTCCGGCGCCTACGCCGCAAGCCGACAACCGCTGGAGCTTGCACGCCGTTGAGGAGGAACGCAAGAAGCGCCAGGCTGCCGAGGCACAGCAGCGTCTTCTTGAAGAGCGCATGAATGCACTATCCAAGAAGAAGAAGAAGGGTTCCCTCAATTGCTTCTAGTTGAGGCCTTGTTGCTGGAACCTCGCATCTCGGAGGGACCGAGTCCGACTGGATTGACCTATCTCGCATCATGGATGTCGATTGGGCCGGGTTTTTGATTGTTCTTTTTCGGCGTGACAGGGCGTTCTCTTGGTTTTCGTTTTTACCGTTTACACTACCCCTCGCGCCATTTTGTATTTTGCGTTTGCGGCATTTTTCATGCTGGCCGAAGATGATTCCCCTTACGCATGGCGAAACCCAGAAAGATTGGGCAGGAGTTTCTCATTCTGGTGGCTCGTATGTGCGTCATTCTGCTGGGAGGGTATTGACGATGGAGCACTCTTTTTTTTCAATACCACTACGCGACTTTGCTCATACGATATGCACCATCCAACCCTTCACTTCTCTTTGTTTCTATTCTAATTATTTCTCTTACATAACAATTGTTTTATGAATAGCAAGACCGACGTCGTGCACTAATGACGGCACGAGGGAAGGATGATGGTGGATGGGATGGTGGTGGGTTGGAGGCGGACCGGTTGCGTTTGGCGACGGTCTCTTGAGGCATTTGCGAGACCGGGCTGACTGCCTTTGGTTGCCTGGGTACTCGAAGGAGGTGACTTGAGAGACCGAGACGGGAGGGTATTAGACACCTTGGCTAATGCTAGTTTTTGGTGCCCGCTGGAATACCGTCGGTTGAATAAAAAGTGGTTTGGAAGTTCAGTCGTACTCCACGTGTCGTGCCTCATGCCGTGCCTCTGCCTTGACGACGATAAAGGTAGGTCTTTCCGCCCTATGGCATTGTGGCCTGTTTCGATGCCGAGACATGTCTGATTCGTGATCTTGACTGTTGTCCGCCTTCATTCTTCTTCAGAGGGGAGGACGTCGGGAAACCAGCCGTAGGAACTAAAGTCGACCTGGAACTCGCCCATTGCCGTCCGCGAGACCTCGACGTCCTCGGCTTGTAGCGATTCGGCTTGGTTTCGGGCGCCTGAGGGCTGGGAGCTAATGGGAGATGTGATGTTAGATGCGTTGTGTACGTAGGTGAGTGTGAGTGTGATGGTGCGAAAATGGGGTGTAGGAGTGGGAAGAGAGGTGGATGTACCGTGGCGAAATGGTTCCTTTGGCGTTGATGACGCGCTGCCATGGGACGTTTTCGTTGTTGAAGCGGGATGTTGGGTCTGTTGGGAGGTGTTTGAGGCAGATGCCTACTTGACGGGGGCGTTCGGCTTTGGGGGTTGTTAGCTATTACCTGATAGGTGTTCTTTATGAATATCGTGTATGGTGCGTGGATCGTGAGAGGAATGAGATCTGACGCGATGGGGTTCGGGGTAATGAGAGGGAGTGAGTGGAGGGGCGGAGTGAGGGAAAGACTCACGGGTTCCGACGAGCCTGGCGATGTGGCCGTAGGTTGTGACCTTGCCGACGGGGATTTCTTGGACTGCGGTGTAGACTGCGTGGAAGAATGCTTCCGCTTCTTCTGTGCGGGCCATGGTTTTGAAAGCTTGCTGATGGATTGTGGAGATTGGGATGTTGGTGTTGAAAATCGGGGTGGTAGTGAGCGAGGGCGATGAGTTGGTGAAGAGTGATTTGGTGTTGTGGTGAACATGAAGTCACTGCTAACAATTATGCCCGGCTTAGCGTGGGAATGCAATGGCCTGATTGGGCAGGAGATGAATGCACTTTTGTTGCTACTTCAGCTCAACTCTGCAAGCGCGTCACTTACTTTTACTCCTAGATCAATGAGAATCATGGCATTTTTTTAAATTGAATTTCAAAACTCATGGATCATATCTCCGTTTCCAGAAATATCCTTGGTGGTTGCCTTTATTTTATTGGTGTTGGTCCCTACCAACAACGATACGAAGACTTCACGTGCATCGCCGGCCAATTACATGATCCCTTGAGACGCGGCTAGATGTATGAGCAGAGCCTCCTGCCGTCACTCAGCCCAGCCCAGCCTGCTTCCACATACCTCTCTTACCCCTCTTCCTCATCTCTGACGTTGTTTATCGGGAGGGCAGAGTCAACATCACTAAAATTCTCATACGGCTGAAAGACTTGGGTGGCGCGGCTTCCCTTGCTAGGGCTTTAAAACAACTTGTTCACACAGGTCAGAAGGGCCAAAGAGACTACATGGCACTGAAGATGCGTGGATAATGGCTGCCGGCCTTCGCCAGCCATATACTTGGCATGTCTGTGGAAGTTCGTCTCAATCAAACAGTTGTCTAGGCCAGTGGAGGTAATCATAGGCATATTCTCTTTCAACTTGATGACGAGGCTACCGTTCATTCCACACTCCCTCCGTTCTCACAGGCTGATGGGATGGTTGCGCGTGTAGAACAAGACTACGAAGAAGAAAGCAGCGGGTCATGTTTGAAAGTTGACTATCCTATTGGAGAGTCCCTCGAGGCGCAGTTCCTCAAACGACCTGAGATTGACAACGGCGTTGCTGCATCTATTCGAGTTGGGATCAAAGGTCTCTCGTTTTACCTCTTGAGGAGAATGACACTTGATCGTAAGCACAATTACGCCAATTTTGTCAATGGCCTTGTCGATGGGGTGAGGGCATTAGAGGACGCCTTGAATAAAATGGGGATTTACGTCGACTCTAAACAGCAAGTTGCTCCGAACTGGCCGAAGCCTCTCGGAGAACCTGAGCACTCATTTGGACAACGTGAGGACGAGATGGGGCTTTTTTTGGATCACAAGGCTATGAAAACACTAGTGGATTCCTGTCCGGTGCATCCGGTGCATCCGGTGCAACGAAGGTGGGACATTTTCGAGTCGAATACGTGGCAGGACTTTGAAGACATAAGCCTCCGCAACTGTCCTTGCATGGTAGTTAGGAAGCTGATGTACGGTTTCGCAACCACGGCCCTGGCACTAATGTTATGCAATTTTGACGCCGCCGAAGTAAGAGTACAGGATGCAGTCATTTCGGGATATTCTGAGATCGCTTTGAGCAAAAGAATAACAGTATGTCATCCTGACCTCCAATACCACATGGTGGAGGAGAAACAAAGAGAGGTGAGCGTATCGGTAAGGTTTAGAGACATAATCTATTACCTAGGGGAACTGATTTGCTGTGATTACATGCCTCACTGGCTCGATGGCACCATCCTTGCGAGACCTAGAGCAGATAACCACGAGATTTTCGTTCTTTCAAAAAGAGGTTTTACTATTGTCGTGATGGCTTCAACCATCCATAGCCTCACATTATATTACATAATCTCGGTTATATAATTACCGAGATCTATACTCGCTTGTACCCTCTATTCTAAGGCAAGCTTTATACCGATTTTTTATTTTTAATAAATAACCGTTCTCTATATTTAACGTCGATGCCCCTGTCGTGACTATACGATAACTATTAATTACAAGTGCGTAATGGAGAATGAGTCGTTTGATGATTGTGGCAGAACCCTGCGCGTTCAGTCCGGCCGAACATCACTGGCTGGAGCTTTTCGCAACATCGTTGTGGAAGAAACGTTCCTGGTTCCGGATGGCGCTTTGTATGATGTCTTGCAAGGTATCAACGAAACTGCCGATGTTGTCTCCTTGGCTGGGAGGAATACACTGGAACCCAGTCTCAGACCACCGGACACCAAGATCACTATGGATGCCTTTGTCTAAGAGGATGCCATCTTAGTTCGACTAAACTTAGCCGGAAAGACATCAAGGCCAGTGGCAGCATCTATCAACTACTGTGTGTATCTGCTCATGGCCTATTGGGTTGTTCCCAAATGCAGTCACGAGAGAGACGGGCCGTATATGGTAGAACACAACCAGGATTTGGTCGTATGTGGTTTCCATGTGGCTTTCTTGCCCCGGCGAGACGCCGCAGAAGTGCTGGTGTACGCTTTACGCGGGAATACAGTTCAACAGCTCCTTGTGTGTGGTTCGATGGAAGACGAGGTGGACAGGTGGGCAGGAAATGCATTTGACAATGCTGCGCTCTCTGGCCGTTGTGTTCTTCAAGCTTCAGCTTGCCTCAAGTGCTGCATTCGCTGGCTCGCCAACCTGGTTATCTTCCATGTGTTGTGATGGGTGGTTGAGAAGGAGCTGGTGTCTTTCTTCAATATTACTGCGTTGTAATAACGTTAACTCTATGTTATTGCCATCTAAATCGACGCTGGGAAAAGACAGAGTATGCCGATTTTGCCTATTGCTTGGATTACTATACTTATGGCAGATGTTTTCTTGTATATTGGGAAATGTCTGGGAGCCAGATAAGTTGAGGTGGCAGTGAAGAGAATTTTCCGACAGGGACGATATGGAGAAATGTGTTGATGGAAGATTACACTTCTTCGATGCATGCATGTGCCATGTACAGGGCCAAAGACCAAGCCGTTGCCAAGATATACTCGCCGAGAGAGGCCAGTTTTCCCGCTGATCGATAGTCGTAAACAGTTTCGTCACTGGAGGAGAACTTTGTACCTACTTACCTATGTGTGATAACGAGCATTTTAAGGCAACATACAGCGCGCGTGGAATGACGGATCCTGGTGAAGCGTACATGTAAGATTGGCAGCCCTTATACCCGGCTTTCGAGGTGATTATTGCCGTACGACCAAGATGGGTCAACGGCGAAGAGGTTCGGTTTCGGTGCAGAACATCCCATCGACGGACCCGTCGCGACGATTCGAACCACTTAGATGCCATCAGACAGCTCCGACGTCGCATTGCCGACGCCGGACTTGGCCCGACGCCCCGCGTTTTCGAGTTGACCTCTCCCCGGATCCACATCCATGGGGGCGGGGGCGGTACGACTCGGATTCTAAATACGAGAAATCGTTGAAGGAAGCCGAAACGTCCTCTTTCAAAAACCCCATTTCTCTGACTTATTCAACCATACACAACTTTAAGTCTCAGATCTATTTCGCTCATCAAAATCCGCTGAAAGTTATAATCATGGAATCATTCATAAAGTCAAGGGAAACACGACCTCAACTCCTCCAGAGCCTCCTCGCAGCTCTTCCTCCACTCGACAAGTCCCTCGAGGAGTTCCGCGACGTTGCAACTCTCTCAGATGGCTACAAAATTGATCTTCAAATTGTCCGCCCGCGCGGTGTAGACGAGTCGAACGCAGACCGGCCTTTCATCCTCCTCTGGCCAGGTGGTGGTTTCATCGTTGCCGGCGTCGAGCCGACGACCCGCCCCGCGCGGGAATTTGCGCTCGAGTTCGGCGCTGTGGTGGTCAACGCAACGTACCGTCTCGCACCTGAGAATAAGTTTCCCAGGTCCGTCAAGGACGGTTGGGAGACGGCAGTCTGGCTTTCGAAGAATGCTAGTCGATTCGGCGCGGATATCAGCAAGGGGTTTGTTGTTGGTGGGTGGTCTGCTGGTGCGAACATTGCTTCAGTTGTCAGCCAGAGGTCTGGTGTCGAGGGACTGGGGATCACTGGCACGCTTCTGGGCATTCCGTTCCTGCTCGTCAAGGAGATTGTGCCGGAGAAATACGCCAAGGAGTGGGTTTCTCGAGAGACCAACGCCGAATGGAGCCCGACTTTTACTACTGCTGTCATCAACGATGTGTCGAAGGCGTTGCAGGCAGAGATTAAATCGCCGTGGTACTCACCTTTCAACGACCCTGAAGCCATACCGAAAGCTCCCAAGACTTACATCCAGGTTGGCGATCGAGACCCGCTGAGGGATGATGGGTTGATTTACGCCAAGGTTTTGAAGGATAATGGGGTTGAGTCGAGAGTTGATAACTATCTTGACTGGGGACATCAAGGCTGGACTATCTTTGCTCCACAAGACCAGCCTGCGGAGCTGGGACCGAATACAATGAAGGGGATGCGGTGGTTGTTGGAGAAGGAGTAAACTTTAGCTTAGAGAAGCGAAATTTCAGATCGTTGTAGAAGCCTACATACACTAAGATTCATAGAATGTGTAAACGGAGAAGATGTTGTTACAATATGATACCCGCTTCTCTAAACTTCTCAAACGCCTCCAGCCAGCCCTCAATAGGGTCTCTCTCTTCAGTGAATCCCACAGACCTCAGCCTCTGCAAGCTGAGCTGTCTGTCGAAGGACAGCCAGTACCCGACGCTGTCAAGCTGGACACTTCCACTCCCCACGCCAGCAGTGACAGCCCTACCACAGCCTTGTTCCTCGAATGTCTGCCTATGTTTTTTGACGTACTCCCCGGGTTTCTCTGCATTGTCGTTCTCCCTCGGACCAACACCAACCAGTCTGAACCAATCAGCGAGCGACGGCCAGAGGTCACTGAACTTGGTAGGCTGCTCTCTGTCGGCCATGTTAATGACCTTTCCCCCGCATTTGTCCCCGTGAAGCGAGGCGTGAATAGCGATGCGACCGAGAGTCCGAGAAGAGACGGGAGTGCAAAGGCTGTTGTATCCCGCCTGGGTTCCAGGGAATGAAACCTCTACACTGGGCTTGGAGTTCTTGCTCACACCGTGGTTGTAGGCATAGAGGGATAGGTACTGCGCCCAGTGGAGCGCCAACGAGAAGCCAGATCCATTCGGGGAGAATCCGACTACCGCGTCTGGGCATACTTCTGACCAGATCCAAGGCTTGCCATCGCTCGCCTTTGAGAGGATCTTACGCCACCAGGGATACGCGACGGTCTTTTCGTAGTCTTCGGGGAGGTTGTCTGCCATTGATTCCTCCAAGGGGGGCTTGAAAGTTCCACCAGGTGTGTAGATCCCGTAGCCCTGTGTGATGCTGTCAGCTCTATATCATGATAAATTGGGAGATGAGGACCACCCACCCTAGTTCCGCCAGAGTAGACGAATGCTTTGAGGTTCATCGACAACGATGTGACCGCGTCAACCACCGTCTGCATCATGCCACAGTTGGTTTCGCACTCGGCAACATCGTCCCCATCGCCCTGATTGAAGACTGTGATAATGGCCAGTAGATTAGCTACATCCTCCAGTGAATGAAATTACCACACAGGACACAACTCTCACCGAAATAGAATACATGGGTGACGCCCTCGGTCCCATCGACTTTGCCCTTGAGCTGCGAAGTCAGGTCTTCCAGCGTCCCAGTAAGATTGACACCAGAGGCAATCTGCAATCTGGGTCTGCTGGGCGACGCTGGTGGCCAAAAAGAGTCTGAATCTGGTAGCGGGCGGTTCATCACAGCGGTGACCTTCTCAAAGGAGCCCTTGGAGGGGTAATTGGAGAGCAGCTGCTCGACTGTCGCCCAGCCGAGCAGGCCAGAGGCGCCAAAGACGATGGCGTGGTTTGATTCTGGCATTTTCCAAACGTTGTGCTTGTCAGTTGGATGGAGAGTTGGAAGTGAATGAAAGAGGACTTTAAAGTTAGAACAAGAACGGGCTCGATATATACCGTACCTACGTGTAGTAATCAGTAGAGGCATCAAATTCCTTGGACTGGCAGGAGCGACGGATGCACGCGCCTGCCTAGATCGCTCAGGGTCCAAGCCGATTTGCTAGTACGCAACGTAATGACCAATGAGAGTCGCGCGTTACACTGAGCCATGATGATTCATAGTGAGTTTTCGGCGTAGCTAGAACTTAGTTATATCTACCTTAGTATGCAAGCCGCCGGGTCTTGAGAGATCCGTTCTGTAAATTTTGTGCAATCCGTGCAATCGTTGAGCAGGGCGACATATTAATTTTGACAATTGAGGCGAAGCTCTGCCTATATACGTTCATCCAGCTTGCCAATCGTGGAAGGACCAGGCGAATTCGACCCGCCTGCCCGCTTGCCTTCCAATACGAGATAATCCACTCCTGACCAACATCTCCGCAGGCAAAATCATGTCAAGAGAAAAGAAGTGTTGGAAGCATTGACTCTGGAAATCGCTAAGTCCCGATACGAGATTGAATAGCTGGGTCACGAAATCACCGGAAAGAAGTCTCACCATCCTATGGGTCGATACAGCGGCCAAAGTAAGTGATTTTAATTGGGTATCGTAATCGCATTCATGTTCAACACCGCGCTAAGCATATCTCAAGTCCCATTCCGACTCAGAGCAAAGTCCGCATTTCAAAGCTGGGTTCAGGTAGGATGCATTAGGTCTGTAGAATCCGGGTGATTAGAACATCGGTCCTCTCTCCCACTCTCTCGCTCTCCTTGCCTCCATCCTCCCCATCAACTCCCTCCTCAACCTCCAGCACCACATCCAAAGAGACGACTTCTCTCACGGCATGGCCACCCAAATTCCACTCATGAAGAACAACGCACCGGCGCAGACAAAGATGATGTGGGTAGAGGTATCAAGCGGCTCAGCAGGCGGGATGTTTGAGAACTGCAACACGGTGCGGATCGAGAAGTTGTTCGCAGCCTCCTGGATCGCCAGCGCCGTCAGGTTTCCGCAGGCCTCGTTCAGCGCGCGGTCCATGATGACGGTCGGCAGCTTGAGGATGGCGGTGTCGAGGACCTCGGCGTTAAACTGGTTCCCATTGGGCGAGGCCTCGAAAAATGTGGCGCGGTAGGTGCTGTTTGCGCCGACGGTGGAGAGGTTGGCGATGCGAGAGTATTCGCCGCACGACATGATGGTCGACTGGGCGGGCGTCGTAGGGTTTGTCTGGCGGACGACGACGGCGGGGCCCGGGGCCGGAACCTCGATTGCTTTGCCGAAGGCGGCGGTGCTCATGAGGGAGACCGCCAGGAAGAGGTTGGTGAAGATTGATTGCTGCATCTTGGCTCTCGTCGACACTTTTTTTCCGCTTTGATGTCGAACTTAAACGAAAGGCGAGATGGGAGAATAGATGGTGTTGTATTATGAAAGGTAGACAAGGGTGTCGAGAGAGCTTCAAGTTTAACTGAAAGGACCGCGACAGAAACCAGCCGATAAAGTTCAATGACAACCCAAAAGGTTAAAAGTGGCCGGCCACTGAGAAGTGAAGGAATACAACCCCAAAAGGAAAGAAGAGAGAAAAAAAAGAAGGATGACTCGTTCAAAAATGAGGGAAGAGTGGCAGCAGACAACTAAAAAGAGAGGGATCAAGGAAGTCTGTGTCGTTATATGTGCCATAGTTGACATGGAGGGGAGCAGTGGGAGGGGGGACAGTCGGTAGGAGGGTGTTCTTGTCAGTGCAAGGGGCTGGAGCGTCTGAGACGAGATGACACATTTGGGATCTCAGATCAGACGGTCTGGTGTCTTGGGTGAAAGCCACTCCAAAAACTTGGGACGCCGCGGCTAGCTTATTTCTTCATATATGATTGAGCACGTTCAAAGCCGTTGGATCCTTTGGCGGAGGTATCTTCTCTTCTGCTCAACTTGACATCGAGAACGGAGACTTTCCATAGTCTCCAGTCTGCAAGACAACCATCGAGAGAATAAGCTCAGCAAACGGGGCCATACTGAGAGTCCATGATCGCCAAGCAGGGTGTCTCACAATTCTCCTCCCCCAAGCACAGACCAATCAACCACAACAAAAGATTGTGGACGATGTGGTCCGGCTGTGGCCCCCTCCTGTTTGATCCTCCCTCTGGCACGACGGTCGATGTTTTTGGTCGCCACCAGCATGACGAGCCCGAGGCATCGAGCCAGTCAGACGTGAATTGGGCCTGATGAGCCGAGAAACCGACCACAGTCGTGTTACCAGGTATTTGCCTGGTCTAACGTCCCGCGTCATGAGACCCAGAACGACAGACTGGATTGGAACTTGGCTTTGGCAGGTTTACTGGGGTGGCTAGGGCCACAGCTAATCGGGGGATGCCTCACTGAATGAAAACTCTCGTATGGTCGTCAGGTATCATTATCATTATTCGTCAACGGCTAATGCCATCCTGTCATTGCCGGCGTCTACGTGCCGCAACTCCCGTAAGCCTCCCGAGCCCTTGGACCGGGGGTGGAATCTCGCTTCAAGTCCCAAACCCTTGACGCCTATCAAGCAAAAGCTCTCAGTGTTCCCTCCATGCCGTATTCCGTGCGAGTCTAGTCACTGTCGAGTATCGCAGACACAACCGCCCTCCTAGCCTTCTTGCCCTTCCCCTGAACGGGCTTCTGCATCTTGCCGCCCAACCCTCCTAGACTCAACGGCTTCGGCTCAACGGGCACGACACCGCACTTAATGCTCATGCTCGCAAAGAATCCGCCCACAGGCCGTAATTCGTCTTGAAAAACAGCAACGTTGGAAAACGCGCTGCACCGCTCCCCGCGAAACAACTTGGCCTCGCACCCATCTGCCTTGTTCCCCATAAAGATGCCGCACTGCGCCGTGCCCGGTAGGTTATAGCACTGCCCGTCCTTGGTCGTGAACGTCGGCTCCGTCGACGCGTTTTGCGGGAGCTCCATATCGACAAAGGACGCGCCGCGGCAGTTCTTGACGCCCGGTGAGCTGGGGAACAGCCGGACTGTGATCGGAATGGGCGGCTTCTGTTCTTGTGGTGGAGGGGCGGTGGTGTTTGGTTGAGTAATGTCGACTTGGTCGGCCGTCGCGATGGGTTTCGGCGGTGCTGGTGGGGTGGGTGGGGGATCATCGCGGTCGACGACTTGAGGCATCGCGAGGGCTGTTGAGGCGAGCCATGCCGCCACGAGGGTGGCTCTTATGATGGGATTTGATGATATTCGCATGTTTCTTTTGATGTGATTCAATCAAAGAAGGATCTTTGAAGTTGTAGAGACTGAAGACTGATCTTGCACTCAGAAATTTGTCCCGTCAATAGTTGGCGCACGCTGATGAGACGACGGCAGAGGCAGAACGCCAAGATGCATCAGCCGCGTTTCAGACCACCTCCCTACGCCAATCCGCACGGATACAATGCTGAAACACAGCTTTGAGGGCTTCACAGATCCCATAAGCTTCGATTGAGAGTATCATCTGATAAGAAGGATTGAAAAGATTGAATTAGAAGGTCTAAACAGGGCCTCTGCCCAGCCCCTAGAGCGGTATATGCAACAACACAACTTGGTATCTGGATCTATAATCTTTGAACAACAATTGCTACACCTCATTAAGCACCATCATACAGCAGATGTGCACATCAAAGCCACTTAATCAACTCTAACCGCCCTTGAGGACCGACTCAGCCGACGATCTCTGCCCACCACTCTTGCTCTCCGCGTTCAAAATTGCACTCTCCACAGCTGCAGCAACATCAATGTGGAAGAATGGCCGGTTCATGCCCTGCACAGCAGCAAGCTTGCCATCACCGCGTCCCACAACTCTCGCAGCACCATCGTGACCCTTACTCGTCGGGGAGATGACATCCTCCTCCTCCTCGTCGCGGCTGCGCTGCGAGGTAACCCGGGGCTCGTGACCCGATCCAGAGTCGACGGGCGCGAAGCTGTAAATAGGCTTCCACCGACCAAAGTTGCCCTCGTCCTTGACGGAGGGGAAACCGAAGCCGGCGGCGGCGAGGGCGCGGCGGGTCCAGCGGTTGTTGACGTTGGCGAAATGCCACTCGACGACCTCGGGCTCGGCGTAGTGGTCGAGTGCGTTGCGGACGTCGATGAGGCCTTGGATTGAGGTCACGTCGATGTTGTTGACGGCGGAGCAGTCTAGGATGACGGCGCGTACGATGGGGCGGGTGTCGTCAAGATCGATCTTGGCGCCGCGGCGCGGGCCGGGGTCGTTCCAGGGGCGGTCCTGTTAAGTGACTGTTAGATATAGGATCATGATGAGAACGGTAGGTGGGTGAACTTACGCCGAGCTTCTCATAACGATCGAGGATTGTCCGTCTGGCGTGCTTCTGCACATAAGCGACCAGAGCGTCCATGTAGTGAGCCTGGTTGGTGTAGTTGAAGCCCTCGCCGAACCGGTAGACAAAGACACCGGGGTACGGGGTCTGGACGTCAATGTTGGGGTTCGAGCCATCGTCCTTCTCGAGAGGGATGTAGCTCTCGCGAGCAGGAACATCGATAGCCTCGCCCCTCTCGTTGAAAGGGACGCCCTTGCCAGCGGTGTCCTTTGTGGCGCGGTAGACCTTGACGCGGCCGAGGAAGTGGCCCTTTGCCTTTGCGAGACGCACCAGCAGGAGGGCAGCTGAAGCGCACATGGTCAGGTAGATGCCGTTCTCAATGTTGGTGAAGATGGTCAGGAGGACACCGGCGAAGAAGATGAAGACCTCGAGGGGCGACACCTCCCAGAACTGGTACACCACCTTGGGCGGCGTGATCAAGTCACCGACGGCGTGGATAATGAGACCGGCGAGGGTGGCCATGGGGATGTAGAAGAAGACGGAGGTCAGGGCGTACAGGGCCAGGAGCACAATGACAGCAGTGAAAATACCAGCCAGGGGCGTGCGAACACCGGCCTTGGACTTAATGGCGGTACGGGAGAAGGATCCGGTGGCGGGGTAGGCGCCGAGGAAGGGCCCAAAGAGGTTCGTGAAGCCGACGGCAACGAGCTCCTGCGAGGGGTTGATGACGTAGTTGTTGACTCTTCCGAAGGACTTGGAGATGGCAATGTGCTCGATGATGAGGACGATGATAGTAACTGGCAAATCAGGGGCTACGGCACCCAGGAGCTCCGTGTCAATCTTGGGAGCGCCAGTGTGCTGGAAACCACTGGGGACCTTGCCCAGGATCTTGAACTTTGCCTTCTTGGCATCCCAATTGACGTGGCGGTTGACGAGCCAGCTGATGAGGACGTACAGGAGAATGACAAACGCCATGCGCAGTGTCGACATGAAGAACCAGAACTTCTTGCGGTGGGGCTGCTTGTTCGACATGAAGTTGCAGAACGAGCGGATAGAGTACAGCAGGAACAAGGCCGTGAGGCCCATGGCGGCGTCGAGCCTGGCGGTAGGCAGCGCCTTCAGGAAATCGATGATGACCTCGTACGTCGGGTTGCGTGTGTTGACACCCTGCAGACCAAGGAGGGCGGGGACTTGACCCGCGGCGATGCTGATGGCGGCGCCCGTCATGAAGGAAGTGATGGCCACGAGCGGGATGAACTCCACGATCCAGCCCAGACGCACGAGACCGATGAACAGGAGGACGGCACCGGAGATGACGGCCAGGGCTTGAGCGATTTGAGGGCCGTCATATTGTGGGTGAGAGTCCTTGACGCGGAGTACAATGTTGCCGACGAGCTGGGACATGACGGCGACGGTTCCGATTGTGATATCCTTGGAGGTTGCAAAGGCCCAGTAGAGGATGAAGCCGACGAAGGAGGTGTAGAGTCCATATTCGGGGGTCAATTGCGCGAGGAGGGCGTAGGCCATGCCTTGAGGGATGACGACGAAACCGACAGTGACACCTTTAAATGAATAGTCAGCTATCAAGATATTTCAAGGCATTGAGATGAGATGGTAGATGAATGGCATCGCAAGGGCTCATTTGATGTGTCCTTTGAGCAAATGCCAATGGCATTACATGAAAAACATACCAGCAATGATGTCTCCCAGAAGCCAAGTAGCATTGTAGTGGAAGATCCAGGACCAAAAGGGGAACAAGCTCTTGATGTAGTTCACAGCGCCGTGAACCGTGGGCCGGTGCTCGTACAGGAACTCGGCGACGGTAGGCTCCCTCTCCTCATACTGCTCGACGGAGCGGAATGAAGCGGCGGCGGATTGAACGGCCTCGGTAGGCTCGTTACGGTACCGGGCATCGACGTCGATACCAAGGCCCTTGGCCAAGGTTCTTCCGACCTTGCTCGACATGGCGAAAGGCGCGTCCGGAAGCGACGGTCTGCCGTGTGTAATGTTCCCAAGAGATTGAATCAAGGTAGTCGTCCCAAGAGATAGGAAACACTTGGCAAAGGGAAAGACAGGTCTTGGTGACGAAGAATTCAATGAGGTAGAAAACACCAAATCTTAAAAGAGGAGGCGAACGAGTCGACTAATAAGGTTTCTGACCTGGACCGGGAGACGGGACGACACGAACGAGGCATATTAGGTGTAAGGGCACGTCCGGGACCGGGGAACCTTATATGTTGCGGAACACAAGTCACTCCCAAGAAATCAAAAAAACTGACAAGAGCCCACGATGATGCTATCCCCCTCTTGGAAGCAAAGCTTGGCCGCGTCGCCAAGAAGCGTGGCTTCGGATCGTCCAGGCCTCGCCAAGGTGCCCTTCGATTGGAGCCCTGCGCATGTTGCACTCCCACATGCCGCCAAGGGTAGGGGTGTGGGAGTTGAAAGCCATTGTCTGACGACATAATCATTCTCTATGGCGTCGCATGGGATGTAGACACCCTCTAATTTCGATTTCCTCGGTCTTGATGAATTTGAGAGATCGCAAAAAGTCTCTCTAGAAGGCATCCAGTCCTTTGGGACAGCCCGTATGATTTGGAGTAACATCGCTATTTCTGATATGTGGTCGCACTGGGGGAAACGGGGTGGATGGCGGGGTGGACCTCCAGTCTCTCTCCGTATGCATGTTAGACCGAGCTAATGAAGGGTCCTCTTCCTTCGTTGGAAGAGCATGTCTGACTGTCTGTTTTTCTGTAGGTACTTCCGCGTGTTGGAAATACGTACATGCACTCCAGGACGGGGTGTGGAATGCTAGCCTTCGGTGCGACCACTCTCTCGGACGACTGTCTTGCCTGACCAGAGCTAATTAGTCCAACCCAATTCGATGGCCTCTCCATCGCCCGTGCCCGGCCGCCGGGGATGCTGACTCTCTCTCGGTTGGACGCGTGGGGGCGACGACGAGCAGGAGGAGGAGGAGAGCTGTCAGAAAAGCAAAATTCCGCCGTCCTCAAAGTGACTGCGCGCCGGGATGGCCTTGATTCGGCATGTGCCATATGCAGCTGGGCTATCTGCTGCGCGGCTAACACGCGCAGACACACGCACGCACGGCAGACCACAGCTGGGATATTGGTACTAACAATCATGGGTGCATGTATGTCTTCGCCTCCCAGATCACTCAGAAGTTGAGATCGGCTCTCCGTGTGATCATTCCGTTCTCTTCAGCCTTTTGCACATCGATCAGGGATCGACCGGTGAAGGACACGGCAGGTGGCACTGGGGCTGATCAGTAGAGGGTTGACTACTGGCGTTCCAGACCACCGGTGAGGGTATCGAGCGCGCGGGATGTTTGAGACGTTGGAAAGGCCGGACAAGGCGGGCGGTAGTGAAGAGTAGTGTAAAAGCTATTAGCAGACTGCGGCCGAGAAGATGGAAAAAAAAAAAAGGGAACTAAATTGGCCTTTCTCCGCGGTATGCGGCGGGTAACACAAGTTCATATTCAGTGGCTTGCTTGTATACATGCAGGCTTACACTGGACCGACGTTCTTGCTCGTGCCTTTTCTCTCTTTTCTATTTTCCCAGCATACCGGGTCGATGCTCCTCTCATTAAGCTTAAATGCCAGACGGGTTTGTCGATTACTGCTGTCAGGTTCGTCCACGATGCCGTGTATAGCATAGTCGACGTCGTGTGTGACCCAGATGTCCTGCCGAACACCCGAGATGGGAAAATCGACAATCCAATGCCACTCTTGGGGGAGCTCTGTCCACCATTACCACCACCCTTTCTTCCACCCTTTCTACTACCCTTTCTCTCACCCCCCGTACGGACGACAAGACGGCTGGACCAACCCCCAGAAGACAACAGGAAGGCTGGTCCCTGTTCCATCTGTTCTCTGGTTTTCTCCCCGGGGCTGAAAGTGAAGGGTGTGATATGGGGGAGGTGAGGATGCATGGGGGTGTGGTGTTGGAGAAAAAAGAACGGGTTCCGGGAAGCATATTGGACGATGGTGTCGAGCACGCCATTCTTGGCGTAAATGAGACCAGCGTTAAAGGATCCTCCCGATTCCAAAGGAATCGCACCCGCGCCAAACAAACACAAACAGAACTGTGAAGAGTCCCCCGACTTTTTCTGTCTTCATTATGCAGCACGCGAATATTCTCGGTGACATTGTCTCAATTTGGGGGCAAATCCAGCTTGGCAAATCTCTCCTTGGCCCTGACGTCCTGTACCGGAGGTTCGCAGTTGGCATAGTCTTACAGTGAAGTTTTCGCAGCAATTGATCTCTTGTCTCTCTCTAGACTCTTCATTCGGTTCATCACATTCCCTCCCATACGCTGGCCCCTGGCTTTCTTCCATGAACCTGCGCCCGCGCCCAGACATCGAAGCTTCGCTCAGTGAGCGCCTCAATGCTGGTGCCCTGAGCTTGGTGTTGCTTGTTCCGTCTCGGCATCGCGGGAAGGCAACTCCGGTAGCCAGCCAAGACGTTCAAGGCCATCGGGAAGAAAACTCTTCACAAAAATACCCCCCAAACCAAATTGAAAGTTGGAACGGCGTCTCTTGGTAAAGTCTTGGGTCTCTCCACAAACAGCAACTCGATCACGCGATGTGGGAGGGGTTGTGAGCGAGGATCGGAGGCAGAAAACCGGGGGAATGAGGGCAAAAGCCAGAGCGTGTGCGGCCACTATTCGGCCTTTGATATGTCTTGGAAGCTATCACATTGACTTCGATAGACGGCAGAGTTTTCGCTGTTCCAAGTGACTGCCGAAAGTGATATGTCGGCCAAAACTTGCGCTTTGGGAGAAACTATTACTATTACGAGACCGAATCGAGGCCACGAAATGGAACAGCGTGGGATGTAGCGTGATTCTCTGCGTCCCAGCTGAGCGGGAGAGACTCATGCTAGACATGCATGCTGCCCGACGAATGTCTCTGGACAAATGCCCGGTCGAGAACAGCTTGCTCAATCGTGCCAACAGAAGCGAGCTGTAGTCTCAGTCTCGTTCGCTTCACCTACGCCGTGCGTCTGTGATGTGTGCGTCTACATGGGTGTCCCTGGCGTACGGCTGAGGAGGTCGATCATATGGCATATCATCGACGTGCCTCAATGGCAAATCGTTTACCAGTGATCTTCGCGGCTGAGAGTCACGACGGCATCATTACAAAGGCTGGGCGCCGTCAATCGTGACGGAAGTGGCTCAGAACACAATCGATCTTCATAATTTCTCATCGCGCTTCGAGTGGTCTTTCCCTTTGCTAATGAAGAGCGACGGATAGATCAGACGTCACGGGCGAATCTTCGAATGTCACCATACGCTTGAGTCCGCCGAGCTTCGGATAGTTCTATTCCGGAAATACAATATTTCCCACGCCTCACTCCACATGAGCTATCTCGATCAGGGATATTCACCGATGAGCCCTGGAATACGGGAAGTAATAGAGTAAGTCCAGCGTGAAGGGGCATAACAGGACAGCTTCAAATTCTCCTGCTTAAGTTTCTGTATTGCTAGAGGGAAAGATGCATGGTTCATGTTCCTAGCAGACGTAAGCTGCATGCATTTCAAAGCCCAATTTTCAATCCAAATCCCGTGACTCCGTCAAATATCATAACAGAATGATCCGAGAGTCTTCTGAAGCATTCGCTGTGATGCTCAAACAACTGGTTCGAGAAATTTCTGAACACATCCATTCATTGGATCAATCGAAGAACCTATTGAATCATAGGAGTGTCCGCGAGAGGGCTCGAATCTTTCCAACATCATAGCAACCCAAAAGCAACGGGGTCGCTGGTACATCTAGCTTTTGCAATGTTGGTGTCACTTGAGTGAGGGCTCTCGGCTTCCGTTGGAAAGTGCTTCCAGACTGGGCCGCAGCAATGGAACAAAAGAACCAGAACGCGCCACCGGATTGTGCCGAGAACGAAGACCCGCGATGGTATGCACATGCAGATACTGCAGAGACATGGGACCTTCTTTGGTGGAAATCCCGTGGCTCTGGTCCCGTCGGTGCATCGCATCATGTACGGGGGCGACTTTTGGGACAGGGACAGAGACGAGCAGAAAGGCCGCTCGCCTCCCACACAGTCTCTGAAGGCTACCCAGTCATTCTGCACTCACCGGAGGCGGTGTTCAGGCTCTGGAGGCCTGGCCTCCTGCTTAAATATGCCAAGAGACCGTCTCGGTCTTTCCTGAGCACGTCATCGCCAGTCGGGCGAAGTAGGCCGAGTCCGCTCTGTTTTAGAGCGAAGGGCCCCCCAAAAGCGCAGGGTCTTTGTGATGACAGCCTACGATGGTGGATTCAATTCTGGATGACAGTCAACAATCCTGTGGTCAGCAATTTCGGAATCACTTTCCGGATGTCTGTTGGACGAGGCCTTCCGTTACCCGCTTCCGCCGGTCTTGGCGGGGCCGCCCCGAGCCCGGTCTCCGCCCAGTACCCGGAGCCTCGGTCTCCGAGGGATCGGCCATCCTTCGTACCCCGCCTCCCACTTTCCATAGAGTTGTGAACCCCGCGATCCTCGTCAGTGTATAGGGCGATCTTCCATCAACGTAGAACAAACCAGGGACGCTCGTAGCGAACGACATACTCTATCATGGCATCCCAAACGCGACACCTCCGCATCGGCGTCGACGTTGGCGTGACAAATACTGATGGCGTGGTCCTCGATCCCTCGCGGGCCTCTGAGCCCGGCAAGGGTATCATCGCGTGGCACAAGTCGCCAACAACGACGAACCCCAGCGAGGGCATCAACAACGCCATTGTCACAATGTTTGAGTCCACCAAGATCGATCCGAGTGAAATCGCCAGCGTAACCATCGGCACAACTCACTTCGTCAACGCTCTCTTCGAGAGGGATGCCGCTCGTCTAGCCCCGGTTGCTGTTATCAGGCTAACGAGCCAGTTCTCTAAGCACGATCCGCCTTGTCTGGATTGGCCCGAGGATTTACGCGACCTGATTTTGGGATATTATGCTCTCTGCAAGGGTGGCCTACAAGTAGATGGCACTCTGATTTCTGACATAGACACCGAGGAAATCAAAGCGCAATGCGCTGTAACTCGAGAGAAGGGGATCAAGAATGTAGTTGTGAATGGAATCTCCAGCCCCATCGACACGAACGACAAGAAGAACGAGCTGCCGATATTATCCGATCAGAGATCTCTAGCTGCACCGTCACCTGCTCCAGAGATGTGGCGAACCTGGGCTTCCAGGAGCGAGAAAACGCAGCCATTCTCAACGCGACGGTATTGAACTTTGCTCACGGAACTATCAAATGATTCCAGGAGCCTATGAAAAGGCTAGGCCTCAACTGTCCAGTCTTCATCTCTCAGAATGGCAGTACGATCCTGTCAGGCGAGATGGCCGCCAACTTACCCTTCCGGACATTCTCCAGCGGCCCGACCAACAGCATGCGAGGAGCCGCCTTTCTGGTGCAGGATCACGAACTTAGCAACAGTGCCGTAATGGTAGTCGACATTGGAGGTACGACTACCGATGTAGGTCTACTGCAGGCTAACGGTTTCCCACGCCAACAAGCTGTCTACAGTGAATTCGCTGGCGTCCGCCTCAACCTCTCTTGCCCAGATGTCAAGAGTATCGGCCTAGGGGGAGGCTCCTTAGTCCGGAAGGGCGCCGAGAAGCTTACCGTTGGACCAGACAGCGTTGGCTATAGGATTAAGACAGAGGCCATCGTCTGTGGAGGGTGTACCCTAACCGCCACAGACTGTGCCGTCCTCGCCAGCTCATCGTCGCCTGCCGCCCCCATTGGAGACGCTACTCTGGTCCAGGGCGCCCTCGATGCCCAAGGCGTAGCCCAGCTTCCCGCCATCGTCAAGCAAAAGCTCGAAAAGGTGATTGATACGATGAAGACCTCGCCGGAAGACATACCTGTTCTCCTAGTCGGCGGTGGCGCCGTGATTGCGCCTTACGAGCTAAGGGGAGCTAGCGAGGTGCTAAAGCCTGAGTGGGCGGGCGTCGCCAACGCGATCGGCGCAGCCATTGCACGTGTCAGTGCCATCGTTGACACGGTCAAGTCGACAGAGTCCAAATCGGTCCAAGAGATCTTGGGTGGAGTGGAGGAAGAGGCTAGGAAAAAGGCCGTTGCTGCGGGTGCGGTTCCTTCGCCTGTTCAGATCGTGGATGTGGATACGATACCCCTGGCTGTAAGTGCTCCCCGAAGTCTGGGATACGTGGTGGGATCATGTCGGCTGACAGATATAGTACATTGCCAACAAGTCGCGCTTCATTGTGCGTGCTGCCGGTGACTTTGACTTCTCGCGGACAGATCTTTCATCTGTATTGCAAAGCAGCGAGGAGGGGAGCCAAGGTGATGAGGTCTCGACCAACCGAGTCGTAAAGACTACCGCAATCCGTACTAAGGAAGAGATCGATGTCTTGACTTACAAGCCTCTTGTCAAAGATCGAGTCTGGTACATCAACGAGACCGACCTCGACTGGATCAGGATTGGATGCTACATCCTCGGCACAGGCGGCGGTGGCTCACCCTACTCCCAGCAACTCATCCTCCGCGAGAAGCTGCGCAAAGGTGCAGTCGTCAGAGTTGTTAATCCTCACCACATACCCGACGATGCCCTCGTCGGCTGCGGAGGCCATGCGGGGTCCCCGACCGTCGCCATCGAAAAGAAGTCTGCCGGCGAAATGCAGAAGGCCCAAGAGGAGATGTATAAACACTTGGGCACGCCCGCCACACACATGATCTCCGTCGAAATTGGCAGCGCGAACGGCCTGCAGAGCATGATGATCGGCTCTAGCACGAACATGAACATCCCTACAGTCGATGGCGACTGGATGGGCCGGGCGTACCCGACCAAATGGCAGACGACGCCGGTAGTCTTCAACGAACGGAGACCCATCTGGACGCCAGTGACCATGAGTGACGGGAACGGCAGCATCGTCACGATGTCCCGGGCATCATCTGATAAGCAGGTCGAGCGGGTTATGCGTGCGGCTCTGGCGGAGATGGGCTCGCAGGTGGCTGTGGCTGACCCGCCGGTGACGGGAGCCGAGACCAAGAGGTGGGTGGTAGAACATACCATTTCCCAGTCGTGGCGAATCGGGCGAGCTGTTGCTGAGGCAAGGAAGCTCAACTCTGTCGACAATGTTGCGGAGACAATCACTGAGGAATGTGGCGGTCACGGCTCGGCTAAGGTTATTTTCAAGGGCAAGATCGTGGGCGTCGACAGGGTGCTCAGGAAAGGTCACGTCTATGGAGAGCTGGTCATCGAAGGCGCTGATATCTCCACCTCGAGAGAGACAGGGCAAGAGCCAAAGAAGGAGAAGTTCACAGGATTCGTCAAGATCCCGTTCAAGAATGAGAACATTGCTGCAATCAGGGCCACATCTGCCAAGTCCGGGCCCCAAGAAGTTGGGACAGAGAAGCAGGAAGATGTCTTAGCCATTGTGCCGGATCTTATCGCGGTCATTGACGCGCAAAACGGCGAAGCCATTGGAACGCCAGAGTACAGGTACGGACTTTTGATCATTGTTCTAGGTATTGCGGCTAGTGATCGCTGGACTAGCTCTACGAGGGGCCTTGAGATCGGGGGCCCTGGAGCTTTCGGATTCTCTCACCTCAAGTATCATCCTCTAGGCATTATCGTGAAGCCTCGGAGTGTCGTTGATGAGTTTAACGTTGAGGTCCAGGGATGAGATACTTGAAGAGTATCATTGAAGTAGCACCAGAAACAGTATCCTTCTCAAAGAAGAACACAGGGTTAGTCGTGACCCTCACCTAAGCTCGCAGCTCGCGGTCCCGAGTGAGCTTAAGGCATGGACTGGTATCTAGGATAGCTTTGTCTAATCACCTGGCTGTGACACGAACCTCTTCCAAAGCTTCCGCGGAGCGCTCTGCCCGGATCGCATTAGGGTCTGGCATCTCGTTCATATGGCCCCGACGGCATAGTCAAACACCAAGAAACTTGAAAAAAGAGGAACGTTTCAAAAAGCATAGGGAGATCGGACAAACTGTCTGCACAGCCTGAGTCGTCTCTGTGGTGGAGAGTGACGCCAAGATCCACGCGACTAGGATATACTCAACCTCTAGGCCACCGTAACAAGGTCAGCTCGACTTTATAGCACTCCTCCAATCCAAGAAGGTCCACTTGACGGATATCCTGGATCAGAGAGAAAGGTCAGCGGTGTTCCTGAAAGCCAGTGGGAAGGGCCGTCATTATGATCAGCACAAGGTGGGCCGATCAAGCGGGCAGACAGGTGCTACTATGTCGTAGCAAACTCAGCCGTAGTTCGTCCAATTCGCATGTCTTCTACACAGAGCTTCTCGAAGCAAAAATGCGACAACGGACTCTCTAAAGTAAAGTAGCATTCGGCCGTCTTGTCGGCAGACAAGCAGGGTGGCGTCCATCAAACCGCTCCCACGGACCAAAGCATCCTGACTCGGGAGAGAAACAAATAACGAGAAACGCCCATTTCCGTTCTATGAGATTGGGAAAAGGTTCGTTTCTGATGTGAAACGGTTGGGTTTGCAAAGAGATATAGCTGCCAGTGCCTGCTTCCCGCCCCATTGTTTAAGTTTCCCATGCAACTGTCGGGTCCAAGCGGGCTTTCGATCAATGCGACGGGACCGAGACCATGTTATTCGATTGCCGCGTGCGACCTCAGCTTCTTGAAGCATCGTTGAAGCTAACAGATTCAATGCAACCATCAAAATGAAGAGAAAGTTTACACTATCCCGTCCATGACAAGTCTACTGCGGGGTTGGAATCGCGGTACACGATGGCCGGTCTTCGCCGTTTACGCCATGATGCCCAATGGCCGCCTCAAGCTGGCATGAGTGGCATGCAGGACGTTCTCAGCAGAGCTCGGAGGAAAGTCTACTGAACTTGAGACCAACTTTAGCTTTGACGTTTCGTCACGTGTCGGCCGGGACAACCATTTAATACTACTTGCATGATAAGGGAGGATGAGAAATTCTCAACGCGGTTGTCGCCGTAGACTTAGGATTCATTCGTCGTCAAGGCAGCAAACACATCATCAACCAGGACTCACGATGTGGAGCGAGCTGTGGTCTTTCCATGGCGCCGCGGCGCTGTTTCGCTGGTGGCTTATGCCAGACACCCATCTGCCTTCGCTATCTCACGCAGCCTCACATGTAGCTCATGACGCGGTACAAGCCGCATCGAACTGGGTATCCGGCTCATCCTCTGCAGACTTGACCAACTCAGCCGCGGTCGAGGCCTTAGACGATTTCGATGCTCTGAAGTATGTTGATCCTCTCATCGGCTCGAGGAATGGTGGCAACGTCTTCGTGGGTGCGACACTGCCCTACGGCATGGCAAAGGCATCCGCGGACACGAACAGCAGCTCGAATCAGGGTGGCTTCACTTTGGATGGGAACCCAGTCACCGGCTTCTCGACGATGCACGATTCTGGCACTGGCGGACAGCCTTCCCTTGGAAACTTCCCGCTGTTCGCGTACACCACTTGCCCTAGTGGAGTAATCAACTGGTGCACATTTCCAAAGAAGTCAAGAGCGAAGTACGGTTACTTTAACGAAAAAGACGTAATCGCAAAGCCGGGACTCTTTAACATAACTCTGAAAACCGGCATTAGGGTGGAAATGACGACAACCGAACGAGCATCCCTCATAAGGTTCAACTTTCCCCAAGCCGGACAGCCTCTCATTCTCCAAGACCTCTCAGATCTCGCCGACACGAGGCAAGACAACGCAACTATCAATGTGGACGCCAAGTCCGGACGCATCACAGGAAACGCACGTTTTCAACCGAGTTTTGGCAGCGGCACCTTTGTCCTTCACTTTTGTACCGACTTTAATGGCGCCGAGATCCTCGACACAGGCATCTTTGCAGACAGTCGCGCGAGCACAGAGGTCAAAAACATGACTATCTCGCGGTCCATCAACGGGTACCCCTTACCCGGCGGTGCTTTCGTGCGGTTCAAGTCTGCGGACCAGCCCATTACCGCGCGTGTCGCAACCAGCTTCATCAGCGAGCAGCGGGCATGCGAACATGCTGAGGGTGAAATTTCGGATTACAACTTTGAGCGGGTGTCGGGCGAAGCGACGGCAATATGGCGCCGCAAGCTCAGTCCCATCAAAATCAACACTGATCGCGTGAACGAGTCGTTTGCGAGGAACTTCTACAGCGGCATCTATCGGACCATGGTCAACCCACAAAATTACACTGGCGAGAACCCCCTATGGAAAAGTGATGAGCCGTATTGGGACTCGTTTTACTGCCTGTGGGACTCTTTCCGTTCCCAAATCCCATTCCTGGTGATCATCGATCCAACTTCGGTAGCGCAAATGATCCGGTCTCTCATCGATACATATGTTCACCTTGGCTGGCTTCCGGACTGCCGCATGAGCTTATGCAAGGGTCTCACCCAGGGAGGATCCAATGCTGACAACGTCCTAGCAGACGCCTATTTGAAGAATATTACTGAAGGTATTGACTGGGATCTGGGCTATGAAGCAGTGAAGAAGGACGCAGATGAAGAACCGTTCGACTGGAGCGTGAACGGCCGTGGCGGCATGGATAGCTGGAAGAAATTGGGTTACATCCCTGTGCAAGATTTCGACGTCAAGGGATTCGGAACACTAACGAGGAGCGTTTCGCGAACACTCGAGTACAGCTATAATGACTTCTGCATCGCCTCCATGGCTGACCGGATGGGTCATGGGGATGACCGGGAAAAGTATCTTGCTTCGAGCAGCAACTGGCGCAACCTGTATAAGCAAGACCAGAAGTCAGCTTTCTTCAACGGTACCGACACAGGATTCAGAGGATTCTTCGAGCCCAAATTTCTCAACCAAACTTGGGCCTACCAGAATCCGCTCAACTGCAGTAACCTGGACGGCCAAAGCTCGTGTTCCCTGCAAAACAATGGCCCGGAAACATTCGAGAGCAGTCTTTGGGAATATGGCTTGTAAGTTGACTTGAAAAATGATTGACAGTAGAAGCCTCAAGTAACTGACCTTACTAGCTTTGTTCCTCACGACCAAGGAACGCTCATCAACACTCTTGGTGGCCCAGAGGCCTTCGTTCGCAGGCTCAACTTCTTGCATGACCAAAACATCACCTACATTGGCAACGAGCCAGCATTCCTCACGGTCTTCCAGTACCATTACGCCGGTCGCCCGGCTCTCTCAGCCAGACGAGCCCACTTCTACATCCCTTCATTCTTTTCACCTGACCCAGCCGGACTTCCTGGTAACGATGATAGCGGAGCTATGGGATCATTCCTGGCTTTCTCCATGATGGGTCTGTTCCCCAATCCCGGGCAGGATGTGTATCTCATCATCCCGCCTTTCTTCGAAAGCATCGAAATTACGCACCCGCAAACGGGTAGGACGGCAAAGGTCCGCAACATTAACTTTGATCCGACCTACCGCAATGTCTACATTCAAAAAGCGACTTTGAATGGTCAGCCTTACAGGAAAAGCTGGGTTGATCACAAGTTCTTTACCGAGGGTCAAGAGCTGGTGCTTACTCTTGGCCGGCGTGAGAGTGACTGGGGAACGAGAGTCCAGGATCTCCCGCCAAGTTTGGGTCCGTATCAGGGATTCAACCGCACCTTCCCTTCCAATCGTACCGATACGAGAATTTTAGATACGGGGATCATAGATACGACGTATAAGAGTGAGTTTGGGCATACAGGGGTGGACTTGAACGTTTAAGCAGGCGGGTGAGTAATTGGCTATGGCGATCACTACTTATAGACCCTTTGCTTCATGTTCGATTGGGCAGTTGGAATACCTTTTCTCAGTTCATTTGTCAGACTCTGGATGACAGCGAAACGCAATATGTTTTCGATTGAATATCAAGTACAGATATCATCCGTCTGTCTCATCTTCTGTCACTTTTACCCAGCCTCATCCGCCAAAGTGAACCCCTCTCGCCTCAAACGCCATAATTCGTAACTTCCAATCCGGTTACCGGATTCACTACGCCCAGTTGATTGCCTTCTGTCCATATACTTCACTCTTCTTCGTGGGAATGTCGTCAAACAATGACGCCTTGATGAGAGCTTTGCCCGGAATCGCCTTTGTTGTGGTCTTGACAGGACTGCCAGATTTGTCAGTACACAGATAGACGGGTCACCTAAGTAGTCGATAGCTCTACCTTCCACACTTTCCGCAAAAGCACCGCTGGAAACGTGATGTGAGAGACAGCTTCTACATTGTTATATGATGAGTTTCTAACTCACCTGAATGGTGTTTCCGGAGTCAGTGTTTGAATCCTGGTATTCTTTCAGCGTGTTTTGGCTATCGTCAATCTCCCATTCACCATCGTCGACAAATAGGTTCATGGAAAAGGCTACATGGTTCAATCACAGTCAGCGTAGAAAAATCCTAAGATCTGTGAGTCTACCGTACGGCCACCAGCGCGTTTGCAGTTTGAACTAATATTTTCTATCGTGTCAACTTATGACTCCAAATTGGCATGTGTGGAGGCAATGAAGATGGTTGACTTACCAATGACAGATAACGATGTTATCCGGCTTCTTGTTGACTGTGACCTTCACCGAGCCACAGTTGCAATGACCTTGATACGGAGCCATATTGATTTACTAGAGAATAAAGTTTGGGTTTGATCAAAATGAACGTTGAATGCGCACGGGGTTGTTGTGTGAGGAAGTCGTCAAAACTGAGGTGTTTCTCTTAGAATCTCCCACCCAAGCTACAGCCACCTTTTTCATCAGATGATGACGAATCGAGTAGACTTACGTCAGAGATCGCTTGCTTTTAAGATGTCGAGCGTTTCGCAAAGTCTAACCCGGTCGGAGTTGGGGGAATGTTGGTTTTCCTAGTTCCGGAAGACGAGGGAGCTTAAATTCCTAGTTCCGAAGCGGATCTCAATGTGGGGGAAGAGGGGTCATGATGTCGCACGGCGGGCCCTCGATCGAGCAGCAAGCCGCGTGCCGTCGCGTCCGTCCCGTTGCGTTTGTTCAGGATCACGCACTGTCACGCTGTTGGACATGTTTCACTTGCAGACCTTGGCTGCGGGAATTTCACCGCTTTTTGATGCTGTAAAACCCCACCTCTTTCGTACGACGGCCAGATAATCGGCAAGTTGTAGTCCCATTGGGCTTTCATTATCCGGTGATGCCTCAAAACAGCTTCCTACATATAGCCGAAGATACTCAAGTCCAGTCGCTCCACTTGGAGCCCTTCCAGTACACAGCTCCATCGTGCTCAAACTGCGGCCCCTCGGCCTCGACAATGTGACCCAGCTCGCAGTGATCAAACTGCACACGCGTTTGCTGGGTGTAGAACTCATCGAAGCGTGGTGCGAGGGCTTCGAGTAGACTGCCGACGTTTCCTGTAGGGTGGAGGGCCTTCCATGGCTGCGAGCATGTCGTGCCCTTGCAAGACTTGAGAACAAATAGGAGGGAGTCGAGTCTAGGCAGGACCTTCTTGAGAGGGTAACTGAGAATGGTTGCGCCTGCAGCAAGGGCGGCTTCGTCGGTATGCAAGAGGTTGTGAAGCTGGCCAGGGTCCGTCTTGATTGAGCGACTTGTCAGCACGCTCTACTTTTTCACGTGCAGGATATCAACCTCGGGTTGAAGCTAACTTACAGTCATATCATACAACTCATGCTCGTTAGTGCACCAGACCGAGTAGTAGAGGTTGTAACCTTCGCCGACAACTCTCAGCGCCTTGTACGTGTTGTTGAAGATGCGCTTTGTATCATCGCCATTGAAGCCGAACTTGCTCTCGGTGATTGCCCATCCCCAGTATTCGACATTGACGTGCTCACGAGTCAACGGGGACTCCGTCAGGTCCTTTGTCGAGAGCGGGATCGGGGCTCCATCGAAGTCGGCTTTCAACGGAGCACCCGCGAGCGACAGGATGGTGGGGACGAGGTCAACGTGCGCCGTGACAGCTTCAGTTACGCCTCCCTTGGGAACACCGGGTCCACGAACGATGAGCGGAATGTTGATATCTTCCTCATACCCACACTCCTTGCCGGGCTGCAGCCGGTGCTGGCTAATGTGGTAGCCGTTGTCCGTCGTATAGAAGATGTACGTGTTATCCAGAATACCATGCTTCTCCAATCTCTCCACGAGGCCATCGACAAGCTCATCAACTGCTTGCAAGGCACGTAGACGTCCTTGGTAGTGCTTATCGTTGTATGCCACGTTCTCATCCGTGAGCTTGGGTTGGCGGCGAATCCAGTCGGCGCCCGAAGGCTTGTCAGGGTTGAAATTTTCAGTTCTCGGGACCTTGGCGTCCTCAAAGAGGTGCTCATGTCTCTTAGCAGCTAACGGAATGCTGACTCTGAACTCGTCATCAGAGACGGGCACGTTGTCATCTGGGCCCTTGACTGGCAGAAGGATACTGGAGTTGACATTGCTGTGAGGTGCGATGGGAGCAATACCGAGGAAGAAAGGCTTGCCGACGTCTACGGCTTCGTCCAGGAACCCGTAGGCCTTCTTAGCGACCAGATCCGTCGAGTACTCGCCGAGGTGGTTGACCGGCTTTTCATGGTCACGCTGGAAGGTGGCGTTGTAGTAGTCATAGGTGTTAGGGTCAAGGAGGAAGTCCTGAATCAAGGTAAGCATGACATTTGTTGACTAATAAGGCAGGATACTCACAGAAGAGTTCCAGCCCTTCAAGTGCGGGCTGTCATAGTTCCAAACAGTATGGGCATTGAACATTTTACCCGTGTAATAGGTGCTATATCCGGCCTTCTGCAGCCAAATGGGCAGGTAGTTCTCATTGTGGCCATTTTTCACAAAAATGGGGAAACCACCTGCAAGATAAATTAGTGTCTGTTCATGAGCACCGTCTTCTGTCAATCAGATAAGTGCACGAGGGAATCATTTACCGTATGGTGGGTTGAGGTCGGTGACGTTGGTGTTATGAGCCAATTTGCCAGTCCACAAACTCGCACGCGATGGGCAGCAAACTGCCGTCGTGCAGAAATGTTTCTTATACAGTGTCCCTTCTTCGATGAGCCTCTTTTGAATCAGCGGTATGTACTCCAACGAGTTCATGTGCAGGTCCTGATCATCGGTCAAGACGAAGACAATGTTTGGCCGCGAAGACGGCGATATCGCATCCTGCTTGGGGCCGACGAGAGGTGTCTGAGCGTCGCCTTGCGCTGCAACATTGCTACTGAGTAGCAAGGCCGCCGAGGCCAGCACTGATGTCTTGAGCTGCATTGCGATACAAACTGATTGAGGCCTGTCGCTCAATTGATCGATTCATCGACAAAGGAAGGCTAATATTACCGCGCAACCCACAAGAACAAGACGTTAAAAGTTTGGCTCTTAGATAAGCCTCGTTCCCGTCTTCCGGCGTCGCAAACCCGGCTCGCCGGATGGGAGAAGTGCTCTCCCTGCGCGAGTTCCGATGACGTGCTCCGTCCCCAGCATCGCAACAGACGTGTTATCCACATCCCTCACCGAAAGCGGAGAAACAGAATCACAACAACGCTATCCAAATGAACAACACGTTTTAATGTCGGCGAGATTCTTGCGGTCAGCGAGGCGTGTTTTCTTTTCGCATTTCCCACGACGACTAAGTACATGTAAGTACTAACCTACTAGTAGCTGGCGGTTTCACTGAAGGCAAAGTACAAGTTCCATGCTTGTAGTTGGATTGAAGGTATATCTCACCCTAAACAGCCACTTAATCGACTGATTCTACCAAATACATCTGCGATGTTCTAAGATAGCTAGATTGAATCCCTTATTCCTGGGCCTGGATATTAAGTCTGCCGTGGTCGTCGTGAACGATGACCACGTTGTTAGAGCGCAGCCTAGTGAAGTCAATAGTCGCGATGCTGCCTCCAATCCTGCTCACATCAATGATTTCCCCTTTGTTGTAGTTGCCAACTGTGAGGTAGTAGGTGTTGGAAGGCTGGATTTGGTATCGTACACGGGGCTCGGGAACGAAAGTAGCCAAAGGTCCATCCTGGCTATTGCCAGTCCTGGAACCCCCAAGACCGATAAGGTAATTTCCTGATATGATATTAGTCAGCTCAACATTACACTGAGCCTACCCTTCAATAATGGAAATGGAGGAACTCACCCTGCTTGGCTTGGGCAACGGTAAAGTCATTGCCGGTTTGGATTTCAAAGGCATTTGAGAAGGAGCTGTTAGGAAGAGGAGTGTCGCTGAATTGTGGTGCGTCTTTTGCAACAATAAGCTGCAGAGTGGTGCCTGGAACGGCGGTTCCGTCGTCCTTGAGAGAACCGAGGATGACATCTCTTTCACTGGTTACATCGATCTCAACACCCGTTGAAGGGCTGCCCTGGGAAGTTGCAACGATGGCATAGTACTGGCTGAAGACTGAAAATGTCGCTCTAGAGCCTCTAGGGGTGTTCCCATGCGCAAAGACGTTGGACCAAATTTGGCCCTGGACTCTGCCACTGACCATTGGAGGCTTGTTGAAGAGGACATACTGCTGCTGGGAACCAGACTGGTTCTGGACCGTGATGCTGTATTTATTGACCATTGTGAGCGATAGTGGAAAGTTGGACCTGAATTGATTGGGGATAGAGCCGATAGTCCGGAGAGATACGTGCTTTGCTTTTGTTCCTGACAGGACCCTGGAATTAAGGGCGATTCCTTTCAGTCTTTATGTACTTTAGTTCATTCTGCTGTAACTGTGCAAATTGTATCTCAAAGTAATTCATTCGACTATAGCTCAGCTGTGAATGATTAAATCTCAAAAAGAATTAACTCTGACTGTTGACATTTGTTTGAATCCGCTCATGAACCTGACATTCCATGTAATCTTCCATGTAGTGTTTATGTGCAGCGCAGGCGGAAAGAAGCTAGTCGTGTTGTGTCACTGCCACCTCATTTACCAGTATTGCTAACCTAGTAAATGAGTCGGATAATTGATCGAGAGTGTTTCATAATTCGTTATCGTGTATGAAGTCAAGGTCTGGTGTCAGCTGAATGAACCGCACATGCACAGCAAGATTATCAGCCAGCCACAGTCACTGATCGAACCTTAACCTTTCCTATCCCAGGTAGTTGAGGGAATATTCAGAGACCAAATCCCAAGCTGACTTGTGCGAGTCTTCAAGAATATGTACATTGTACATATCACAATTCTCAAGGTACCCCGTGTGACAGACAAATCTGATGAAAGTTAGCTAGTCATCCACTCGAGTGACCTTGACTTGTGCAACGGACAGGCTTCTAGATTACGATTTGGGCCATGCGTGCCATGTTACCAGTACCCCGGAAAGCGGCTATTGAAGCGGGGAAATGGAATGGACATTTGGACTAGCGTCATTATCACCAAGGAATTGCATGAAGGTCATATTTCGCAAACGGCCATCGCGTACCTCGTCCAATCCTACGGAGAGAAATGTTTTGGCCCGTTTCCAATCATTGTTGAGCGACATGCAGGTATCGCAATACACGAGGGACTCATTGAGGGCTTCAAACATCAGCCAGCCCTTTGACAGACTAAGACACCTTCAGCTCAAACAAAAATGTGCTCAATGTCTTGCCTTGCGTCAGCCTCGGACTCTGATAATGGGAATTGGCTCGTATTACTATAACCAGATCAGCTCATGCTATCATAATTTTCCGAGACTTGAACGGTCTGCATGAATGAACGTCTTGTGCTTGTGGCTGTTATCGCACCACACCTTACTTTACCCCTCCTCTGGCTTGGGCACTCAATAGTGGCACAAGTCTAGCTGGAGCTGCATTAGGAAGTTCAGACTAATGCGATCACGGCGATTTTGGTACAAAGCAAAAGCAACACAACCAAGAAGTAAAAAATGTAGGGTAGGCAGTGCTGCAGGATTATGAAGCTTCTATGCCTCTCTGCTGCCTCAGGACACGCATAATTGTCGCAACGGTACTACCTGCAAGATTCGATAGACAATATTTCAAATTTGCCGCCTCAGAAGCACAAAAGTTACTTCCATCACCCCGATTTCGCTTGATTACATTTACTTGCATCTGTACACGTACTCCGGCATTGAATTGAAGCTCAATGAATACATATAGCCTGTAACTTCCAACCAACTTTATCATGTCATGCTTCGAGGTAAAGTAGAGTTTGTCTTCATCCCATTGCGAATGTTATCATACTGCGAAGTCGGGTATGACAGCAAGTTCTGCGACTTCTCAAGTTTGCCCATCCCCTTCGCCATACTTCGAACGAGACTCTCGTCACCCGCCTTGTCGCCCGTAGCCTCCCAGAACATGGCACCACCTAGTTTCTTCTTCTTGATATAAGCCTGCTTGTACTTTGTGCTCTTCATATCGTCAAAGGTCACCAGCTCTCGCGTCGCGTTGTTGTACGAATAAGTAGCCTTAACCGCACTGTCCCAGTGAACCGTCGCGCCGGGCTGGGGGAGGTCTTTGTAGAGATAGATTCCAGCCTGGCCGAGTGTGCCATTCGGTAGCCCTCTGTACGATTTCCCCAAACCCTTTGTGTTGCTGAAGGCGCGACCGTAAAGGGGCATACCTAGGTTGATCTTGGCAGGTGAGATCCCCCCTTCTTCAACGTAGTCCTCGAACGCCCTCTCGACGCTCTCCTTGGTGCTTTGCGGGTTCCGCTTGCTGCGGAAGACATTGGACTGGTGGCCTGTGACATTCTCCCAAGAACCGGCAAAGTCAAACGCCATGAGTGACCAGAAATCGAGGGATTTGTCCATCGCTTGAAGGTCAAATGCTTTGTAATTCTGAGGACCTGCAGGCGCGGGAAAGCCCAGGGTGAAGTGGTACCCACCTGCATTTTTTCTCGAGAAGTCGTCCAGGCCTGTGCGAAGTTCGGACAGGAGCTTTACGCAATTTTGGTTCTTTTCAGTGGTGTTAGGGTACTCATAGTCAATGTCGATGCCGTCCATCCCAAAGTCAGCAATGAGTTTGATGGCGGAAGAAACAAAGGTTGCGCGGCGAAACTTGTCGGCGGCGACGGGTTCGAATTTCGGGGACCAGTTGTAGCCGCCGACGGAGAGGATGACTTTCAGGTTTCGGTTGTTCATCTTTTTCAGGTAGAGCTGTTTGACCAGGCCGTGAGCATTATGGCCGGGTTCTGTAGTACTTTCGTTGCCAAAAGGCTTTCCAGTGTCGGCCCATGGGTCTGATGAGACGCTGACCAGGGACGCAGATCAGAATCGGAGCTCGAGGTCGAGAGAAGACACTAGACTTACACTGTTCCGTTTGGCTTTATATCTGCGAAAGCGTACAGCACATGCGTGATATCTTGTATAGGAAGGCTGTTGGGGTTGTAGGCCGCACCATAGATTCCCCAATTTGTTACGTACAGGAGATTCCGATGACCCTGCTTTACGGTAGAGTTGTTTCTGCAAGGTCGGCCGTTTAAAGGACTAGCGAGGGCATGCGTTACAGCAAGAGCTGCTATAAGAAATTGAAGTATCATCATAGCGCAATCATGGGGTCGACGAAGTTTTGTTTCATTCCGCTAGAGAATAGCGATGAATGAAAAAGAGTCCGAACACCCAGTCCCCTTCTGGGCTCTTCGTGGACAATAAAAGAACTAGATTGGAGACATGGCTGCCAAGAGACGGAAGCTTTCGATTTTGAGACGACGCGTCGTTCATCTCCGCAAGCTTTCGGCAGCAGGGGTCAGCTCTCTGGGGAGACTCCACCTCCAGGCCAATGCCGTGGGGTGCAATTCCAAGCTTGTGATGTAGGGGTGGGCAGCTCAGTCCTGCTGCCATCAACCAATTTCGTGGCAAACCTTGGGAAGTCGACATGCGCCAGTCAAATGCTGCCATTGGGCAGCATTAGTTCATGTACGAACGAATAGGCAAGGCTTCTTTTACTCCTGGTTCTGGATCGGTTCTGCAGAAGCCAAAGAAGAGTAGGGGTATCCATCGTCGCAGTGTTTCAGCCCCCCAAAGCTTGGTCGCCTCCTTGAAGACTAACGGGAACCGTCGACTTCTAGCCCAACGAGCACATATGAACTCAATATGTTGGCTGAGGCTGTCCGAATTCAAACTTCAGTGCATCATGATTCCGAATTGACGCTCTCACCTTCTTTTGACAGAACTTCTCTTATTCGATGAAGTAGGAGATACGCTTGGGCTTCTGGATGAATCTTCACCATCATTCTGCTGTAGTCAGCACTAGGTTCAAAACGAGCTTCGCACTCAGGAGACGAGGATTTTTATCCATGTCAATAACCGATCGAGACCTAAGCGAAGAGTGTAGCTCAGTTCACCATGTTCTGGTCACAGTCCGAAAGGAGAAATGTTAGGCTCAGTTATAAATGAGGTTGATTGGATTGAATATAACCTCGCAAAGATGGACAACGTTGGGAGACGGATCCCAGCTTTATGCGGGGAAGCGGGGTCAACTCCGAGCCTTCAATCATCTCCAACTGCTTTCTAAGCTCTCGGGGGAGGGAAGCCATTCATTCTCACCCCCTTGAGTCTTGACGGCGTTGGGCCCCTGTTCTTTTCTCCACACAAATGCCGACCACGCGGTCGACTCGCGCGGGCCATTGCGTGTTTTGGAGCCGAACTTCTCCTCTTTTCATCCTCCTAACGGCCGACGACTCCAACTATCCAAGCGAGATTCTACAGCCAGTCTGATTCGGAGGCTCGAGGTTTCAGCCATGGCAAAGAGAACTTGGTCTGATGCCAATGACAACATGGAGTTTATGACGGTAGGATGAACAGACCTTGTCTGGGGTCTTCAGATCACACACTGATACTCTAGGCCTGTGTAGTTGATGACTGCCGGGAACGGGGAGCAGTCTTTTCCGCAAATTTCCCGAAAGATCAAGGCGTGTGCAGCTTGTAGAAAGCACAAGGTATGCAAAGACGATGGCAATCTGGATTGAAGGGACAAAAGAGCCTCAAGTCTGACCCAGCTCCAAGATTAAATGTCTAATGGACGAGAGCGGACCACCATGTCGGCGATGTTCCGAAAGAAATCTGGGTTGTGTTTTGGGCAAGAACTTGCAGAGTATCATCGACGAGAAGACACAGTTAGACCCATGACCTGGAGCAAGACGAGGTTTCGAATCGACTGACGATCTAAAGGTACAACGAGGCAGTCTTACAAGACATTGAAAACCTGCACAACACTCTAAGAGAAGTCACAAAGAAAATGGGCCTGCCAGAGCCTGTGGCACTACAGAGTCCAACACTTCAAAAAGCAGCCGAGTCCCCATCGCAGCAGAGCCGTTCCGGCCCCGGGCTAAATGCAAATGCGACCCGTTTCGCTGTGGCTGGGCAGGACAACCATGGTCCCTCTTGCGATAACTCCCCCAAGATATCCCCCGAAGACGAAAACCTCCCTCACGTGCCGATCCACTCGCTCTACGCCCTCACAAAGCTGAGGGCGCTCAGGTCGCCAGACGCCCCGGATGGCCATTCTAGTCCGGCCCAAGATGACTTCATTGCCCGAGGTGCCTTGCGTCTGGACGATGCCGAACGCCTTTTCCGTCTCTATCGAGACCGTCTCGATGCTTTCATGTATGGCGTGGGGTGCAAGTACCAACAGCTGGATGAGTTGCGTCGCAAAAGTCCTATACTGGCTGCGGCGACCCTGACTGTTGCTGCGCTGCATGATCCCCAGGCAAATAGTCTGTACGGTATCTGCAGCTCGGAGTTCAGGCGGCTCACAGAGAGATCTATGTTCGATCGGCGAGTGAACCGTGATTACCTCCGCGCCATGTGCGTTGCGTCCTACTGGCTCTCTGATATGTCTTGGATGTTGTCTGGGTATGCGATAAGGAGAGCGGCGGAGTGTAACTTGCACAACAGCTATACCCGCGCCATACAAGAGAAGAGCGATGAGGCTGCTGACGATGCGCGGCTGTGGTACATCCTAAACATTTGTGACCAACATCTTGCCACGCTGTATGGGAGGCCGGCGATCGTGCAGGAGGACTCATCTATGCAACAATGGGAAAGCTTTCTTCAGTCACCGATATCGACCGAGGAAGACAAGCGTCTCGCGAGTCAAGTTGCCCTCCTGGGCATTATTGGTAGCATTAGAGAGCTATTTGGGCCTGACAAGGGTCAACCGACGCCACGAGCCTACGTCCATCAAATCACTCATTTCAACAAGGAGCTCGATCACTGGATCAAACATTGGTCAGAAACGCTATCAGGTACGTCGGTCATTTACTGGACCTGCTGACATTAGTTGTACTAATCCACGCCTAGAACAGTACCAACACATAGGTCGATTCCCTCGCAAAGGTGCCCTCTTACACTTCCACTTCGCCAAACTTCACCTCTATTCTCATATCTTCCGGGGACTCTCTGGAGACAGCCCAATACCGCACCACTTTCTCGACTGCGCCGCAACAGCCATCTCGGTAGCGACATCAACCATCGACTTCATCATCACCGATCCAGACGTCGCCGCAGGGGTAGTAGGCATGCCCTCGTACCTGCACTGCATGACGGCCTTTGCCTGCATGTTCCTCATCAAGGTGGCAGTCAAGTATGGCGGCGACCTGATCGAGCCGGAGCGCGTCTGGAACCTTACTACGAGCCTCGTGCGGCACTTCCGATCTCTGCCAGCTGGGCGGTGGCATTTAGCTAATCTCATGGCGCCTGGTCTCGAGCGCATGGCTAGGACGTTGAAGTCTGGCCGTGGAGATACATCGGCGCAGGTATTGGAGGCGCAAGCGTTGAACGGGGATCAGTCGGAGGTCATCGATCCTCAACTCGCTGGTGGTAGCGCTGATGGGACTCTAATGGGCCCGGAAGGAGAGTTCTTCTTTGACTATGACATGAGTTTCGGTCTGTCCCCAGTTTTCCAGTTCGACATGACATCGCTGAACGCGGATGGTGCAACAATTGGTGGCCAAGACTTTGCAAATATGGAGTATCAGATGGGAAGACCCGGATCATGACCACCAAAGAGAACGGACTTTGTAGCTATCCCTTGTTTCTAAGGCCTCACGTTCGTATATTTGTAATTATCTACATACCCTGAATGCTCCTGGGTCGATACTCGCTCTCTAAATACTTCACTTCCTCCTCTGTCAACTTCACTTTGAGTGCCCTTATCGTCTCCTTGATCCTCTTCTCGGAACTCAAGCCAACGATGGGCCAACATCCCTGCTGCAGCACCCACGCAGTTGATACAAGGGCCATGCTGACATCCTTCTTCTTCGCAATCTCCTCGACCCGGTTTACGATGTCCAGATTCGCATCCGCAAACCACGCCTGCGTCTTCTTGTCTGTCTGACTACGCAGCGAGGTTCCTTCGTCATTCTCTTTGGCGAGGGGCTTCGCCAGCAGTCCACGAGCAATCGGTGACCATGGGATCACACCGACACCGCTTGCTCGGCAGAACGGCAGCATTTCCCGCTCCTCTTCGCGGTAGAGAAGATTATAGAACGGTTGCATTGAGACGAACTCTGTCCAGCCGTTGGACCGGGCGATGTACTGCAGGCGGGCAAATTCCCATGTGTACATGGACGAGGCGCCGATGTAGCGGACTTTGCCGGACTGAACGACGTCGTGGAGGGCTCGCATGATTTCTTCGGGGGGTGTTTCGCGGTCGAGGCGGTGGATCTGGAGAACATCTACGGATTATCAGGTTCCGGCACATTTCTCGTTCCACTACTCCAAGTTGTCTTACCGATATAATCCGTGCCAAGACGCTCGAGACACTTGTCAACGGCATGGAAGACATGTTTCCTGCTTAGTCCCATCTGGTTTACGAGCGGGCCATCATTGACGCTGGCAGGTCTGGAGTCGTCGTCTGGAACGGGGTTGAAGATCTTGGAGAGAATGACGACTTTTTGCCGCGGAATATTGAACTTCTTCAGAGCCTTGCCGATGATTACCTCAGACTTTCCGTTTGAGTATGTGTCTGCCGTGTCCCAAGTGTTGATGCCGTTATCATATGCTGCCTTCAGGATCTGGAGTCCTTCTTCTTCATCGAGGACCCATGGTGAGCCCTCCCATTTGGAAGAGCCAAAGGTCATGCACCCGAGGATGATCTTGGAGACCTTGAGGCCTGTGTTGCCAAGTCTACGTGATGGCTATTAGCCACAATGCTTATGCCAGCTTGTTCTAGTGAAGAGGGGCAATTTCATGACAATGCGGGAGCGATTGCACTTGGGATGATTGCGGTACTAACCTCACGTATTCCATGTTGTTGACCCCAAATCGTCTTCAGATAGGTCAATCAATTCGGCTTGATTGAGCTTAATTGCGCTGACAATTGGCGCTCTGTAGCAGTTCTCATGCAATTCATACAGAGCCTCAAGGTTTTGTTTTGTACCATCACGTCATTTTACCTCGCTCTTCGGCATCACTTCATCGGCTTTCAGCTCTGTCGCCGGGATCCCTCACCACCCCCACCATCTCCGACTGCGCGATGCCCCTCTTACGCAATGCGGGGAAGCTCCCGGACATAGATCCACCGGTGGGATGTTCGGCATAGTCACCGATGTCCGGGTTAGACGATCTGCATCGGCGACCTGTCCGACCTACTTGTTCTGAAGTCTGAACTTCGCGTGTGGCAGCATATCCGTCCCTCAGTCGCCGGATATGTTCGGTAAATGTGCAGGCGACAGAAGTATGAGGAGAAGCTCCGACGACATAACCATGCGTGCAAACCGTACCCCTCATGGCGGCTCAGCGAGATCGGATCAGTTAAAGCCGAAGGACAAGCGATCGCGTCTCTTTTGTAACGAGACGCGTGAAGATTTCCTGACTGTAGAACTTTGTTTCCACAAGACCTTGTCAACAGAGTTGTATACCATAAGTTGAGCCAAAATGTCAAACGAAATCCTCGT